TCTGTACCCAAAGCTATGACTCACTCCCTGTCAATCATTATATCCTGTTGTCACCAATGGTTAAAGCACTGCAGCCTGACTGAGAGAGTCCACGGCCCACAGCAGCAGCACTGACAGGATGTAATGTCAATACAGCTAGCAATAAAAACATTTTTGGCAACAGTGATAATTTTCGTTTATGAAACACCAGCAATAAAAGCAAGGAGCAGGAACAGATTTAAACAAATTCAATACCTGGGCGGCAGTAAAAAGAGCAAAGTAAGCACACCAAGAAACATAACAGCACCTAATAAAACCTGGAAAACATGGACACAAGTTCACTGTACCTCACAATTAACACATAAAATACATTCTGCTAGTCTTGTTGGTGTAAAACATGTACTGTAGTAGCGCACCGTTCTGATTTGACTGCTCTTCACATCACTTTGCTTTATCACTGTGGTAAGGGAATTCCCTCTCCTCCAATTTATTTCCCTTGGTGTGGGTTTTGTGATACTTTTTCCTTCTCTTTAATATTGCCTGAGGTTTTGTGAAGAAGCCTTTTAAGACTTCACAGTTTATACCGACTAAACATTAAAGTAGCAGTTGTAGCTTTTATAAAAATAACTTTCCGTCGTATTTGCTGAAACTGTCACTGCATCTGCACAGTGTTATATGAGACAGATAATGTGGAAAAATTATGTTCCTCCTCCTCCTTGTAGAGCTTCTGAAGGCAAGAATTCACCTCATGTGAATGAAAGCAACCAATCAGAGCCAAGGAGTCTTCAACGTAGCTTTCAATCATGTTATCACAGCTTGAGAACTGCGGTCAAACGGTTATGTTGGGCAGTGCTGATTATGTTCGTGACCTGGCTGCCATGTTGACAACAGTCGAGTGAAAACAAAGAATCGCTCACCGGCTGGAGCGAAAGTTCTCATTTAACAGCTAAACAGTACACTAAAATATGTTTCTCAAAACATCTGAGGTGAGAAACAGGCAATGCAGAAACAGAATCTTGATTTATATTCTATCAGTGTTGCCTTGTTTGGCAGTTTGACTGCAGCAGTTGTAGACTCCTCAGCTCTGATTGGCTATTTTCCATCCCAAATGTCGTTGGAAGCACTAAGAGGTGACAGAGGAATATGACTTTTTTCATAGACCACCTGTTTGTGGTATCAGCAGTGATGCCGGTGTTGCACTGGCAGCAGAGCCAGAGGGCAAAGCTCCTAACTTGCAGGACCATCTGCATTCTGACGCTCACCTACGATTATCAGCTTTGGGTAGTGACCTAACGAATGAGGTTGCGAATACAAGCAGCCAAAATGAGTTTCCTCTGTGAGGTGGCTAGGTTCAGCCTTAAAGATAGGGTAAGAAGTTTGGACATCCGGAGAGAGCTCAGAGTAGAGCCACTACTCCTTCAAGTCAAAGCGGCCGACTGAGGTGGCTCGGGCATCTCATCAGGATGCCTCCTGGACGCCTCCTGTTAGAGGTTTTCCACCAATGCCTTACTGGTAGGAGGCCCCAGGGCAGACCCAGAACACGCTGGAGGGATTACATATCCTGTCTGGCCTGGGAACGCTTTCGGGATTCCCCAGGAGGAGCTGGAAAGCGTTGCTGGCAAGAGGGACGCCTGAATGACCTTGCTCAGCCTGCTGCCTCCATGTCCGGACCACAGATAAACGAACAAAACTTGACAGATGGATGAACTACTGTATCGTTTAATACTGTGTGGATGTAGTGATAGTATCAGAAAATGTGACTAAAAGTTTTTTATAAATGTTGCCAAATGTAGCTTAAAAAAAAAACACTTTTTTCAGGAACTGAAACAGAGATGTTTGGTATTATTGTGACTGCTTGTTTCAAGACCGAGGCTGTAGCTGCTTTAACATCTCTCGGCTTCCTCTAGACAATAAAACATTATTACAATAATTGAGGTCAAGTGGCGTCAAAGTCAACACTTGTAGATGTTGATCTGTTCAAATACCTTAAGAAAATGACTGGGAAAACACCGACAGCACAGAAAATCAGCACATGTGTGTTCAGATTTCATCGGCAGTGCCTGCACAGTTTCAGTCTGAATGCATTTTTGCTGTTATCGAGCGCTGTTATCACCTCGTGTCTGTCTTTCTGTTCTTCAAAAACAAAAATAACACAGGCGGCCAAGCCAGACAGCTGGGACAAGCAGCAACATGCTCACTTCCTTTAGACGGGGAAGCATTTTAAAAGGTAAGGTGATCTTTCTTTAGATAGACAGAAAACGCTACACGCCATAATTCAAAGGATGAAATTACAAGACATGAAAAGCACAGTTACACAAATCTTTTCCATTCATCTGATCCCAAACCTTGGGGCTTTGTATCGCAAATACACTGCAACAGGGGCACATGAAGGATGACTGCCTTGCCCAAGAGTACCTTCCGTGTACATTAGTTGTTGACAGAGGGATCAGAGTACCTTGGCATGACTCCCAAACCAGTATTTGGACAATCAGGCCCTCCTATAGCGCCCTCTCCTCTATAAACATTGGAGGCTAATGAGTCCCAGAGCAACAGGTTACACAAGGCTAAATGATTACAACTGCACTAAGAATGGCTTTTAAGAGGACTTGCTTGGCAACAAGTTCAAGTGCTCGCTAATGAGCAGTTAGGGAACCAGACGGCACTTTCCACTGCCTCAAGAGGGAAAGAAAAGCAGGAAGTGTGAGCTGAAATGCTAAAAGAGCAGGAAATAAAATGCAAACTGAGCTGATGGTAATCTTAAGTGCCACAAAAGGCCGTAAACTGCTTTCACTTGTTTAGCATAGAATGAGTTTATTCACATATATCTGCACACACATGGTGACCTATTCACGCAACATCTGCCATCACAGATAAAACCATATTTTGTTGCTGTCATCCCAAACTTTAATGATGGACTCTGCACGGTGAAGGGTGAAATTAACCCGGCCTCGCAGCCCAAAGCCTCCCTCATTTCCCTGGAGCCTGGCACACAATTATAATCAAGCCGCGCAGCCGAGCGCCGCTATCAGACGGAAACCTCGCAGCTCTAGTTTTGCTGATTCTTGTGTTTCTACTTGAACTGAATCACCACACGCTCTCCTGTGGGTTATGATTTTCTTTCACAAACCACTGCGTAATTTTAAAAATACATGGTTGTCAGTTGAAAAACAATGCTGTGATTCTTCACCGCCCCCCAAAAAGCTGACACAGTGGAAACACATGGTTCAACCTAACAGAAGCCACATCCATTGAGAGAAAAATCTCATCTCTTGATTTCCTTTCCCGTTGGCACTGTCTTATCTTTGTGTTTCAACTAGTGGGGGAGGCTGGTGATGTCACAGTGACATAAGCAGTAGCCAGGCAGCTTCGATCACTGTCTGACTGTGCTTTTGTGGTCATATTTTTAACCCACTGACCTGTCCTGAAAGTTCAAAGTAGTCTTCTTTTGGTCTACTTCAGCAAATTTATTTTTGTGTATGAAATGAAGAAAAGGTGATGACATCAGCAATGGCAGGGCAACGCTTGAAACTACGTTCCCCACTGCACGTGTGAATGTTTCTCAAACTACTTTTCTAGAGTGGAAAAAAACTGACAATGCCCTATCTGCAGAGAACATCAGGAAGTCTTGAAGTTGCGTTGGCAAAGAGGAAGCACTACCCTGTTTAGACCTGCATCTACACAAACAACACCACAGTTATGAATAACAGCTGAAGCAGCTTCAGTTATGTAAGGAACAGTTTAGACTCTCAGGATGTTTGTGTCAACAAAACTGGAGGAAGGATGTGCACCAGCATGAGGCCTTGGGCTAGGTATGTTTCTGCTTAGATGAGGAAAGGGCGACACATATATATGATGTGATAACACACTGATATCATGATGATATGATCAAAGCAATCAATCATTAACCAAAGACACATCTCCTCTTTACAGTAAAAGTTACAACACTGCCAGCTACATCTGGCCATTAGGAGCTTGTTGTACTAAAGCAGATTCACTGACATCATCATGACATCATCAGTCACCAGGCAGCCCTGGTGCAGAGACAGTCAGTACTCACTCAGCTACTCCCACACAAAATGCACTGGTACTATAAGTCACTTTAATGGTTGTTTTTATGTTCTAATGCGAAGTCAAACCAAAACACAGTAAATCAGGCTGATACACTATGTCTCTACGTGTGTGTGTGTGTGTGTGTGTGTGTGTGTGTGAGAGAGAGAGAGAGAGAGAGAACACGGAGTAACTGATTATTCAGATGTATGACTACAAGTCACTGGAAGCATGTGACACACACACTCACTGTACCCAGCGATTACAGCTATAACTTTACAGTAGACGTCAGGGCATTGACGAACGCACACTGGGTTGTGGAAATGGGCTCTTCTCATTTATTATGTTTTTTATTTTGTTAGAAAATCACAACTTCTGGTCTCTTTTAGCTCCACTGTTGACTGCCAAAGCTTAAAAGGGATCTCATAATTCTTTGTTCAAACAAAACATGTGCAGGTTCAAAGGAAGCCAAGTTTTATGATGGTTGAAGAAAAAATTATTGCTGCTACCTACAACTGAATCTAATACCAATGCAAACAAGTTTGCCATGACAGAGTGATGGGTCCTGGAATTTGAAATGGGTAATAAAGCATACTATATTACCAAGGATAGGAGGTAATATAAGACAGATAATTAGAGTGGGAAATGAGGGGATATAAAGATGAGATATTGCGTTGTTGTGATCACATGTTCAGAGCCTTACACCTTTACCTTTAAACAGCTGGCAGACTCATGATGTGCTTTAGTTGTTTAATATATCTGAGGGAAGATTTCCATAAGGTCTTAAGGGCTTTCCATCATACTTTTCCTGCAACATTTGTGCATCCACACTAATATTTCTGTTTGCATACTACCCTGGATTGACTGAATAAGACAACCCGCTCATGCAAAAAGCTTCCCAACATCTGCACTGAGTACAAACCCCTCATCCAGCTGTGTCTTGACCTTGTTAAAAGCAATATCTGCGCAGTTACCTGAGCTGAGAGGAGGGTCGTCATCCGTGGTGGAGAAGTCCAGTGTAGCCCCTGCAATGTCCACCATCTCGTCATCATCATCGTCACTGGGGTGATGAAGGCTGTCCAAGCTCCCGGTGCGGTACCCGGGGTTTTCCATCATCTCAAATCCTGTTTACAACACACCAAGAGAGCACAGAGCCCGGTCAGCACACAGCCACAGCCTGCAGGATTTAACCACAGCAGAATCGGCTTTACCTCTGTGACTGTCGGCTGCATACTTCCGATACAAGCTCGCCAGAAACTCAAACATTGTCACCGATGTCTTTAGCAGCCAGCCCACCGAACTAGCTGTATTTCATGAACCAAACTCTGGGGAGTGTTTGTGGGCTCTTGTGAAACAGCCACCGGGACACCCACAGCTGGTCCTATCACCCCGGCTCATCGTAGCCAGTAATGACAACACAGCTCCAGTTATGGGGAAGTTTTTGCAACCATTTCCGCTCCTTTTCTGCACTTCTGTTCCTCCTATTATTCTATACTTAGTGCTGAAGTCAACATAAGAAGCGGCTCGCAGTGGGAAGCACTGCGGCTAACGAAAAGAAGATTATTAGCCTAGCTTATTTAGCAGTTACTCCTGTGACTAACTGACAATATATAACTTGAATTCAGCGTCACCGCGCTCGAGACACTTCCATTAACGCGTAGTTTCACACATAAAGAAATAAGACGCAAACTTAAGGCCAGACTTTACCTGTGGAAACGGAGAAGCAGCCGTCCTGCTGAGTGAAGCAGTCTTGTGACTCGGATTTGCCCCGCCGCCGCCTTCTACTGTAGGCTGCTTATGTCAACAGTAGCCAATGTAAACTTGACGCTCCGCAGCGGCTGTTCAGTAAAAACCCTGCGTCATCCTCCGGGCCACAAAACGACTGTTTTAAAACACAAATTGTGCACTTAAGAAAGCCACGGTATACTGTTATCTTAACTGGGGACGTAAAATAATAAAATACGGTGGAATAGTCCGCATTGCGTGTTGTTTTTGCCACTTAAAAATGAAAACGTAAATCCACCGTCAAGCTAGCTAGAAAAAAATACTACTTCCGGTTGGCGGTTGATGAATCTACGTACAACATAATTGCCAACCTAAAAACGTGGTACTTTTGTGATATTGTAGCCATAGTTTACCCCCTATTGATTTTACATCTATATTTCTTACGTTTACTTTACACAAATCCATCGTATTTCTGCAATATAACAAACTGCCGTTTTAATTTGAAGGCCAAGTCGATTGATTTCCGGTTTAACTGCCGTTTCGCAGCTGCCTTGACGTAAGCATCTGTACACCAGGAGAATCAGTCGAGCGAAGAGCTATCGGCGCTTTTCCAACTGGGTCAGTGGAGCAGTTCGACTAATCAGTCATCTGCTATTTTTCCCTGCATTCAAGTATTATTTAGTGGCAGGAACTTTAGATTTTATTTTATTTTTTATTTAAAAAAAAGAAAAGAAAGTAGAAGAAAAGTTGATTAAATTTAGATAAAAATTAAGACCTTGTTTTTAGGTCTTTTGAAGAAAAAAAAATATGGGCTCAATAAATTTGTAGATAGTCAAATTTAGAATAAATTGTTTAATCAAATTTGGATTTAGAAATGAAAATTGTGTGAAACTTAATGCTCAGGAGGGAAATCTATGTGTGCCAAACTGAAGTATAGTGACTTATCCAAGCACAGAAAATATCTGTTCACCATTTTTTTATTTAATTCTCCTTTAAATCAATTTTTATTTGTCTGTTTTATTGTTTTTTCCAGTCTATGTACTATTTGTTTGTTCTATTGTTTTTCAGTGTGCTATATAAATACATGTACCTTGTGTTGGCTTCCCTTACCACTACATTTGAAAATCAGACATTGTATTGTTATTAATATACACAATTTGGTCAGTTTTATGAGAGTTAAATTAAATTAATTTGTTTTATATCATTGTTTCTATCACTGAAGATGTTGCAGTAATGAAAAGACTTAAATCATCACAGTTAAACACTAAAAATAAATTAAAACATGTTTTACACAGAATATAAAAGTGTCTGTCAGTTTCAAATGGACCATTTCAATGGGATAAAACCAATTAAATGGCGCCATCTTGTGGACATCTGTAAAAACATGAATCAGTGATCCCTCTAAGGAAAAGTGGAGCATTCAATGAGGAAAAAAAAAACATTTTACAGGGTGTGTGTGCAGACAGCGAGGCATTGTGTTATCCTGGTTTATGTCTGTAGCTCTGATTAATCATTGCAACCTCTTTCCGTCATTACTTCCCATGATGCATTATTTCTGTCTGCACACCTCCCACTCATTCATCTTCCTCTTCTCCACTCCACCGCTCTGCTCCTGCTCAGCCCAACATAAACACTGCTCCACCCTGCCTCCCACAGTGTGTCGTCTGTTACTGGGGCCTGTTTCTCATCACTTCCTTCTCGTTCCCTATAATAATCTCAAACATTTATTTTTTTCATTGAAGTGAGATTGCAATAATTAAATCTTTCTGTCTGTTCCCTCCATCATTTATGCCTTCTTTATGCCCCCTCATGTTCTTAGATGTGGGTCATTTTGCCCTCTGCACTCATTCACGCCCCCATGTTTTGTCTTTCATCCTTCCCTCTCTGTTTCCAGCTCTCCTTCCACTCCCATCAGCCCTCTGTTCTTCAATCTGGGTCAGGCAGAAAAATACACTCCCTTGCTTCCCCAAAAAATGCAGATTCTTCACTTCTACGACAGCTGTTTTCTTTATCATTTCCACAGAGCAGCAACCCCCAACTCTCCCTGTGTCTGAGAGGCCGAACACGACCACCTGAAACACTCTTCTCTCCGTCTAGTTTTCAGCTTTTATTAATGGCTCCTGCTCTGGGCTCCATTATAGGCACCACTCAGCTGACAGATCCACATGTGTTATCGTCTAAAATAACATTTTACCACTGCTCCTTCTTCTGTCCCTGGAGGAAGATGTAACGTTAATTCAAGGTGGGGTTTAAAGAAAAACATTTATCATACAAAACAGGCTTTTATCATGTATACTGAAAAATGCCAGTTTCTTGTGAATCATAAATATTTGCTCCTCCCAGCAATCAGTTATCTTCTGTTGGCATCACATATGGAAGCTCATTCTGGCCAAGAAAATAACATAAAGCAGATGACAAGGTAGTAATAATAAAAATAATAATAGTAAGTTAAGTAAATATAATGTTCATGCTGTGAGGCAAGAAGCAAGTAAAGTAGTCAAAATCTCAATTTGGCAAAAATTAGACACCAACTACAAAAAAATGTCCCGTAATTTTTTAATTAATCAATTTTCAACTTGCTCTCACATAATTTTTGAAAAGAACGTATACATTTTGACTTAATGTCTTATCATTTTGACTTACAAATTTAAACCTGACTTAATATTTCATCTCAATTTCAAATTCACACACATTTCACAAAATAATACATTTGCCTCAGAGGGCCGTTCAAATGTAACAAACATACGACACCTTCAGTCCTGCGACTTTTTGGATAAATTTATGGACATTTAACAAGAAAAAGGGTGCAAAATTTTTTATAGTGAGTCTGAAGTACCTCAGTAATAAAATTGTGACTGACAATTTTTAATGGGGGCGGCACAGCGGTGCAGTGGTTAGTATTGTTGTCTCACAGCAAGAGAGTTTCTGGTTTGAACCCCAGGGTGGGGGAGCCTTTCTGTGTGGAGTCTGCATGTTCTCCCCGTGTCAGTGTGGGTTTTCTACAGGTACTCCAGCTTCCTCCCACAGTCCAAAGACATGCAGGTTAACTGGTGACTCTAAATTGGCCGTAGGTGTGAATGTGAGTGTGAATGGTTGTCTGTCTCTATGTGTCAGCCCTGTGATAGTCTGGTGACCCGTCCAGGGTGTACCCTGCCTCTCGCCCAATGTCAGATGGCCGTAACCCCTACAGGATAAGCGGTTAAGGTTTTAGTGGATCCTAATATATCAGGTATGGGATTAAACTGAAGATGCTGCGGTTCAAAATGAGACTTAACATTTCAATGGATGTCAGTTTTTCAGCCACAACGAAGGCCAAAATGTGTCCCGCAACAAAGTGTCAGGCTTGTTGTTTTTAGCTGAGCCGATTTCTGGAAAACTTACCCTAGTGGCCAGTTAAGAGAAGTGAGGAGCCAGCCGTTAAAAGCAGTAAAACAGATTTCTCAACAATTATGAATGACCACAAACATGAGGTCCATGAGCACAGTCATAAATGTGCACTCAAAATATTAGGCTGATAGGTCCAGTAGTTTGCAAGATTAGCTGTGGACAGACGAATACACACACAAAACTCTTTTAATAGGCCTTCATTGTCTGATGAAGGGCTGGTGCCCGAAACGTCACATGTGGTGGTTCGATTAAAAGTTCCAAAAGGTGCAGTTTCTGGTGTGCGGACCTGTTTTTATATTTTTGTTTTTATACAATGACAATAAAGAAAGTTGAACTTGTGTGATGGAGGCACTGTTTTTAAAGGTGCTGAGGTTCTGAAAGTTGTTTTTAGTCTTGTGACTGTTGTTGCACAACTTTTTCTAGCAATACTTTTTATTTTTTGATTCTTGAATTTTTATTGCGAAGTTACATCGGTCACAGAGGCTCAACCGTGCTGTCTCTTTTAACGACTGCTGTACACTTTATGTTGTAGTTTCCATTTTTTCCTATAAAAACCTAGAAATTAAAATGTCTCTAATAACGAGACTATAAAGTTCAAACTAAATGTGCATTCCTGAGCTTTTTACATTTTTCTTTATTGCTGTAGCACTTCCACTTAATTCAGTCCCTTGGTTTGAGGGTTTAAATGGCTCCCTGGCCTCCTGCTGACTGGTCCCCCACACCACAGCATCATCCATATGTTTTAATGAGCTCGTTTCACAGCCCGAGCACTAACTTCCCTTCAACGAGTCTCTTCGGCACATCTCTCCAGCTCCCACAGGGTCCGCTGAACGACTCCAGCTCTCCACTTATCACCCGTCAACCTCCATTTGCCCTCGGCCATATTTACTTAACCGTCCCACCACATGCAAACAACAGTTTCCCCCCAGAAGGGAATTCATTTCAGCACCGGACACTGGAGCGGCACAAAGAGGCCGTTCACCCGGGGCAGACATAAATCACAACAGGAGACGTTAAGCTAGTTTAAAATACTATTATTATTATTTATGGTACTTTTTTTCCTCATGTGAGTGTTTTTGCAGTTACAAACTCTGTAATACATTTTACAAAAGAGGGGTTTGTAATAAATCAAAATTACACAGGAAAACATGAACAGAAGAAATATACTCTCAACAAGCAACTCACTTTCCTCTCCTGTCAAGTCAATAAGGTTCCAGTCGATTTAGAAAATGGCTGTTATGGTACAAGAATACATGGAATATGTACAAAACAGGACACATATGTGTGACGTTCAGGGTTGTGTGGTATTAAAACAGCAGGAAAGGAGCAAGAACTAAGTGTCAAACTGTGACTTTTAATAAACTTCAAGCTGTAGATTTGCTTAACCAGTAAAACTGATACAGGTGTTTGTGTTTTCACTTTAACTTCAGCGAGTCTTTCAACAGCCAAAATATACACGTGTCATCTTCCAAATCCCTCCCATCTCTAATGGAGCTGCAGTTTTTGTTTTTTATTTATTTGATTTACTCAGACGGGCTCTCCTGTCAAAGCTCCGGAGACTTTGGCAACAGCACAAATCACAAATTGGACATTTGATAGATTTTTGAACTTTAAACTACAAAAAATATTCTCAAGTTTTAAATGAATAGTTTGACATTTTGGGCAATACATTTATTTGCTCTCCTGATGGGATTTAGATGAGAAAACTGACACCACTCTCATATCTGTGTGGTAAATATGAAGCTAAATCCAGCGGTCGGTTAGCTTAGCTTAGCATGAAGACTGAAAACAGAAGGAAACTGCTAATGTACCTCGTAATGTACCGCTAAAGCTCGCCAATTAAGACGTTATATGTCATTTGTGCATTTACAAGGCAGATTTTATT